CTCAAAGCATATCTTATAATCTTAGATTCGAAGAACTGCTTTTAGCTTTTTTTTAAAGTAAAAATAAAAATTGGGATGCGGAGGTTCTCGTTGGCTAGCCAGATGGACGTCATTCGGCCTGCGGGCCTTCAGTTGTTCATCCCTGTACCAGAGTTTTCACTGGTGTTCTTGAAATATTCTTTGTAGAACTTTTGTTTTGAACTGAACCAAGWTCATAAATTGCTTAAACCACTTGTCTTTTTGGCTACATCTGTTTTGTAGCTGTACATCAAAAAGTCAGCTCATGGTGACTAATTAGCTTGTTATTTGGTTAGTAAATAATTAACACCAAACTTTGAGCTTAGCCGGTTCTACACGTGTTGAGTTGTATTCCCTCATGTCAGTTCTTGAGGGTCATTGCTGTCAATGAGCGTCATCCAGACAGACCTACCTGCATTGCTGCAGTCCACAAATTCTCATTGGAATCCTCCAAAACTCATCAAACATATGTCTGCATCTTTTCTGAGCCAGCATGTCAGCATGCAGAGCGARCTGTCACTGTAGGGTTGTGGTGGTTTTGTGTAACGTGTCACTGCATCACACAGACCTCCTTCTGGTTCTGTTTGGTGYGGTTTGTTCAAGCTGTGTTTGAGGTCGGCTACAATCACAGTTCTGYGTGAACTTTTGGTAATCTGTTAACCACGACGTAGATACAGAAGGAACACATGTCCAAACCACCTCGCAGGAAGCTCCGCTCAATTTCACTTTGAATCCTTTTTACGAGGAGTTACAGATTACAGCCTGCGGCAACCGTTCCCCCGCCCTAAACTAATTTGCAGATATTTACAGGAGGAGCGCAGCAGTTTAAAGTTGTCGTGTGGGGGGATCTACAGCAGCATGCGGTGGTCGGATGCACCCGGATGAGAACCAAGTCCACCCCTGTAATTAYTGTCAGGCATGCAATCAGAGAAGTATTAACTGGGACAAGAGAACACATGGGAGACATTAGCCCTGCTAACATGACCACACAGGGGTTAGGTAYAAAACGCTTTAAATGTACATTATTGTAAAAATGGTGATTTATTTTTTCCTTTTGTTGATTTTTACTAAGCATTTGGCTTCAGAGGACRTCATGTCTACTTAAGACCTAAAACACTCACTGAAGACAAACTGGGTGTTTCTGCATAATAAAGTAAAGTCTGCCAGCATACGGTAAAGGTGGTGTTTTCACTTTTTATTTTTTTATTTTTGTATGTGTGGATGCATATTTGAATAGAATAGAATAGAATAGAATAGAATAGAATAGAATAGAATAGAATAGAATAGAATAGA